TTGTATCAGGTGAACATAAACAATAAGGGTTCCCCACATAGGTGTTTGTGGCTATGGGTGGATGGGGGAGAGGGTACATGACAAAACCTGCATCATGATGTCACAACACAAACTATGTGACTTACATACAGTACTTGTGCCCAACGCCAGGACAAAGTATGAATGACTAGAGTTTGCATTCTGACACTGTGACATTTCACCATTTTTCCATCAACACAATTTGTACCACATATCTATGGCTCTCCAGGTTCCATATTGCTGTTATTTTCAGTAGAATTCCAATTTCCACCAACTGGAGCCTGGCTGTGGCTCAGGGAACACATGGCCTACATCACAACTTTAGCCCAGGCATTTATTTATTACAGATTATTTATTTATTCGAGAGCCAGTTTGGTGTAGTAGATAAAGACACCAGGCTAGAAACTGGGAGACGATGAGTTCAAGTCCTGCCTGAGGCACGCAGCCAGCTAGGTGACCTTGGACCAGTCTCTCTCAGCCCTAGCAAACCCCTGGCAGTGGCACTCCTGAAAATCTCGACAAGAAAACTTGGATACTGTAAAACCGCTTAGGTTTCAGGGAATGCCCTGGTGAACAGCAGGTCTCTAGCTGTTCTCTAAAAACCTAAATTGAAGAGTCTGTCTCAGGTCCATTGGAAGTCCATTCTAAAGATCTGGTGCTGCCACCAAGGTGGCTTGCTGACAAATCCATGCCCAAATAACCTCTCCCGCAGTCGGCAAGCCCTCCCTAACAGATTTCATGCTTGTGCAGACACCTTGCAAAAGTCACAGGTGCTTTGAAGGTGCAAAGCATAGGCTTCATTTGCAGACCTTCAGATTGCCAAATATGTCTTTCAAAGGCTTTGCACAGCCCTGCTCAGGTACCTAAACTCAGGTACTTTGCCCTTCACAAAAGCACACCCACCCCTAGCATTTTCCAAAAGCTTTGTTTTCCCAGGGACTACTACTGGTAAGGGACTGGGAACTGAAAACTCTTAGATGAGTCACAGCAGCTCCCCAAGTGTTAGCCAATATATTCAGATCATCCTTTTGTCTCCTCCTGCCATCCCCTTCGCTAGATGTGACTTCCGTTTGCAAGAACAGCCCTGAACAAATGCTGTATCTTTCAAATAACTTACCTGCCAAAAAACAGGGGATGGGGAAGTCTGGGTTTGTTCTATTGCAGCTTTCTGGGAAGTCTTCTGGATTGCCAAAGGGGAGATAGGCAAGGCCTCGATCTGTGAACATCTCGTTGATAGCCAGCAGTCCCAGGTTGTTTGTGAAATTTCTTAGCTGCATTGCCCACCTGTCTTCGCTGGCATATACCATACTGGCATCAACAAAGGATGTGAGGGCATTGATCTGATTGCGAATGGCATAGCCACCGTTGCACGCAGGAGCTGCCCGGGTAAAGGGGATGCAGTCGCCCTGTGGTTTTGAAGGGTCATTAGGTGGAATCTAGAGCAAAAAGATGAAGATGAGCTTAAATTCCCTGGTTCAAAGAACATAATATTTGCTTTATTCTGCCAAATAGAGGAATTCTTATATCAAACAACCTGCAGTTTTACACGGGTAGCCACCATTGTCCTCATGCTTTCCTCTTTTCTCCCATTAATGTTTAAAAGGAACATATGACACAACAGAGGGATGCTTGGAAATTGTATAAATATGACCCACTTCTGGAATGAGTTTGCTTTGGTGACGGGTTTTGGACTTCAACTCCCCTCAGCTCCAGTTAGCATGGCCACACAACTGAACATCTGAAGGCCTTCAAGTTAAATTGGGAGGGAAGGGAAACAGGTTACATCTGGTAAGCATGCTGGCTCAGCAATGCTGTCTTTTTATATGAATAAGGAATGTTTAACAAATTCTGTCTTGATTTTTTTGGGGGAAAAAACCCTCTATAAATAAAAAGTAAAAAATTCAAACACTTCGGTACTTTAATGACTTTGGGCACAATATTTATTTATTATTAGATATCCTCTCTTTTTTTTGGTCCAGAGCACAAAGTGACATACATACAGCAACCTCTTTCCATTTTCCTTTCAACAATAACCCTGTGCGGTTGGCTGGGCTAAAAGAGAGAGAGTGGTTGGCCCAAAATAACCCAGCGAGCTTCAATAGCAGAAGATGGCTAGAACCTGGGTTTCCCCAGTGCCTGTTACATCATACTGGTTTTTTGTAACTTTACCCTAGTCTGAGATGTGCTTTGCAACCCGCTGAACAATGTTAGATTGTTTTATCTATTCTTATGAATTTAGAGGCAGCCAATAACAAAATACTGAAGTATAAACAGCTCAAACAAAATAGAATAATTCTAGCATTTCTGAGAAAGAGCAGAGAGGAAAACTCATGGTCAAAATGTCATTAGAGAGCCTAGGTCCTTATTATTCTCTGTTCATTTAATCATGCTTTTCCTCTGGATCCAGTCTACCAAGCAGAGAGATGTTCTATCTCCTCCCTTGCATGTGCTTAGAATAGACAGCAAGGAAATGGACAGGGAGATGAAAATGGGGATGGAGAAGCAGGGCTAGGAAGCATTGGGAAGATGGAGAACAGGGGCTGACAGATCTGAGTGGTTGGCAGTAGAACCCCTGAAATTATGGAGACCACAGGGGTTCCCTGCTGATGCTGAGTTTCTCCCTAGCCTTCCACTCATTCTGAGTGTCTCTTGGTAGCTGTCAATCCATGGAGAAGTAGATACAGAATTTCTCATACCTGAATGGGAAAGCATGGTGGTCCTTTGACACAGCTTCTACCACAATCTATTCCTCTCATGAAGGTGAGGGTTGCTGTTGTGGAAGGCCCAAAATCCAAATCATGATCAAGAAACTGCCCCCATTGCATAAACATGAGTGAGCGGAAAGGATCATCAGTGACGTTCACATTGGGAAAGAAGACGATGTCATTGGATACCGCCCGGACCTGTTACCAAGAAATTATTGTCAAGAAGAGTGGCAGGGACAGGAAGAAAGGGAAGAAGCTTATCAAAACCCATCTGGATACAACTACAGATTGTTAGATAAGTGAAGCTAACTTCTTAGAAAGAATTTAAAGATATTCGTGCAAAAACTGCCAATGAAATCATCTAGGAGTCTCCTCCTGGATGAAACGAGAGAGGAATGACCTGAGAAACAAAAACAGATGCTTGACACCCTGGAACTTCATTAAAAGCAGCTAACTGAAACGACTAAATAAAAAGATTTTATAACCCATTACCTAACTTGGCTATTAGAATTTCAGAGGGCTTGTATATGGGACCTGTGACAGAATATAGCAACCTGAAGTGCTTCTGCTCAGCATCCAGTCAAATAGCCAAGCTTTGTTTCGGGGCACTTGGTTCTTTCTTTTCTCCCCCTTTTGACAAAACCTCAGTAGCCTGCAGCTGCTGAGCAGATTAAGTCTTCACAAGACTGTCTGGGTACTTATTTTTGCCTCTTATTTATTCTTCGCCTAACTTTGTTGTTGTTTCTCTCCTAGGGCTTACAAATATTTTCATGTTTGTGCCTGGATGGTGCTATTTTGGATGGCCTGCTTCAAGATGTTATAAAATAATAATATGGAATATACATGTATTAAATAAACATTAAATAATCCCTAAAACACTCATAGAACTGAATGTACTATTAGTGTCTCCAATAGTGATATGATACCATTTCTGTATAAGTAGTTATCAGTTTGGAACCTAGATACTTAGGAAGAGGAGAACAGGCTGCTGATGTGCATTCAACCCCCAAATCTCTATTCTTCCAATGCTGGATTAGCAATTCCTTGCTCCAATATCTACACAGTATAGCCATGGGCATCAAGTATCTCAAGATGTCTCACTAAATGTATCAGACAGGGAGCTTTGGAAAGCAGGAGAAACCTTCAGTACAGCAATGAGTCATTCCATTAATGTAGAGAACCAGAGAAGATTTGGCTCCTCCAGATCCAGCCCCACCACATAGTCCTCAGCCCTCATGTTGTGGTCTTCAGCCCTTCAAGAAATGTTAAATGTGGCCATTGATCACCAAAAGGCTATCTATCCCTGCTTTAAGGAGCTATGCTCTTGGGGTACGAAGCATGTGCATATATGGATTTTAGGAGGATAATCTGGTAGGAGGATTTAAAAGACTTTGGTCAATGTATATTAGAAAAAGTTGTGCATTTGGATAAGTCTAAATCATCCTGGACAGTGTTGAAGATTGGCCAGAGCAGCAGGCTGGACATCTGAGAAGGATGAAGCTATCACTTTTAGTCAATTAGTGCTACAAATATGGGGAGGGAGGGGTTGATAATATTTCAAGCCCCTCCCTCAATTTTCAGCTTCCATTGGAAAAAAAATGAAAAGGGAGAGAGGGTCAGCCTGTGTTTAAGAGTGCCAAAGACAACACTGAGGTTTTAGAACTTCTGTCGCTTTTTGAGGATGACAAAATATAAGTTTAGATATTTATGGTTATGATTTGCTATCATTTTTCAGATCCTGATTCTTAAACACATATTAATGGAATCCTGCAATCCCCCTTCAAGCAAATATCACTGTAATTCTGATAACGATAGACATTGCAAAATGTTGGGTTTTGACCCCTTCCACAATATCCATCCAACAGTTGTTTCTATTCCCTGACCATATCTCAAAGATACTATAGCTAGCATGCTGACCTACTAGGAAATGATCAATAATGAAGTCATCCAGATTGGTTTCTCAAAAAAAATCCCAGTGTCATGGTGTAAATTACGCTGTGTCTCCCTCTTTCTTTGTTTTGTCTTTGAAATGTAGTAGACCAAAGGTATCAAAGCTGTGGTTGTGCTTTTGTTCAGGTCTGGTCAGCAAATTGAGAGCCCGCTGTAGACTGTAGTTGTTTGCTTAATATTAATACTTAATATATTTATGTTGTATTTTCAAAGTGAGTTGGCTTATTTAAGTGAGCCAGGGTTTCACCACAACAGTATACTTCTAAACGGTCTCCATCTTTTCATTTGCAGAAACTATACAGATAAGATTTGTCCCAGTTTCATAAAAATGCCACTCTATTCCTGTTTTCCATTGCTCTACCTAGTGTACAAAAGCATCGAATCATTTACAGCGGGGTTCCTCAACCTTGGCGACTTGAAGATGGGTGGACTTCAACTCCCCTTGCTGGCTGGGGAATT